TGCCTTGGTTTTCAAACCATTTTGGGAGTCGAACGAAGTCCTGGAAGGGATTAAATTCAAGAACCAAGGTACCACTGTATGCATTTTATATGCACACTTTGCCTCACCATAGACTTTTTTGGTACACATTCAGAGACATACAGCTGAAAGTGGAAATAGAAAATAGCTATTGTGATTAGTAGACCTTGATATTCTTATCCTCCAAGAATTGGTCTAATCCCCTTTTAATGCCATCCAGCAACTGGTATTCAAAAACATTACTCCCTCCAGCTGTGGCGTCCAAGTCCAATGCTCAAAAGCACGATCGTTTTAATGGTGATACCTTCCTATGTTTCCATGTTCCTACTGTGCTGTGTGTGGCCTTTGGTAGACCAGTTCTCTTTACCTCTGCCTGCTCTCCAAACCCCAGGGGCCATTTGGCTCCCAATTCTAGAGGCAGTACCTTTTGTGCTTGTTTAAGCAGGCTTTTCCCCCTCTCCCAGTGCTGTAATGATGTTTAGCAAGTCACTCACACATATTCCGCCTCCTGCATTTTTCATGTGCTTGGTCTCCCGAGGCGGGCACGGTCTTCTAATCAAACAGTAGCTGAGCGGGTGAGTTCTCCTGCCCCCTCCCCACAATTGATAATTACCCTTCCCTTCGCTCTTGGCAAGGTGGTCCAGCTGGCAGATTTCAGGAGAAGTTGCCAGCTGCAGCGGGACTGGATGGACAGACCCCCGGCCCATCTTAATTGGGCAAATGTGCTTCAGTGTGCCGTGAGGATTGGGGGTGTCAGAATTGTTTTCAATGCCGGGAAGAAAATACTGTATTTTTTGCTCTATTTGATTCACTTTTTCCCTCCTAAAAAGTAAGGGGAAATGTATGTGTGTCTTATGGGGCGAATGCAGGCTGAGCAGCTATCCCAGAAGCCAGAACAGCAAGAGGGATTGCTGCTGATCCCTCTTGCTGTTCTGGCTTCTGAGATTCAGAATATCTTTTTTCTTGTTTTCCTCCTCCAAAAACTAGGTGCATCTTGTGGTCTGGTGCATCTTATAGAGCGAAAAATACGGTAATTTGTGCAGCCTCCTCCTTGCCTTGAAGTTGGGTAGGCCCTGCTGGACAAACCTCCAGCCTTAATGACTCTTCCTGTGTAAATGAACTCCCACAACAAAACATTCTCTCTCCCTTTTCTCCAATCCCTCTGGTAAAACCAGATCTCCGAACAGCAAGGTTGATCTCCCTCTCCTGGACTGTTCCTTGTAATGACCAGCTAGGCATGGATAGATCAATCTATTTCCAGTCCCGGTCAGTTTTGCATGCCTTCATTCATAAGTTTCTTCTGTCTTGTCACTGTCCTGCTTTTTTTCTGCACGGAAATCACAAAATTTGGAGAAGTCTGAAAATGGAAGGATAGTAAGAAAGGGAAACCATTATAGCTGTGTATCTGACCTGATATGCACAATCGCTGTTCAGTGGTTTTCTTCCTGGTCTGACTGATCTGCTTGTATTTCCTTCAGGGCATGTATTGCGGGTTCCAGGGCTAACATATTTCCTGATTGTCTCCAAGTCCAGCTTCATCTGAGCAACACTAACATGGGTGAGGTAGGAGCTCCTGAACTTTGAGCAGGTGCCGCTAAAAACTTCCCCCACTACTGCAAGGCAGTCTAAATTCTCCAGTCTGTATGCCTTTTGCAAAACAAGAAACAGCGCATAAATTCTCTTATTTTGCAGGGATAATTTTACAGCTTTCTACTTGTCTTTGTAATTTATTGTGGCTTTGCTAGCCGTGTAGTTTGACTAGGTTTGCTAGCCATTCCCCTCACATCAGGGGGGATTTTATTCAGTCATGACTCTGATTTCTGAGACTTTCAAGGATGTTGTTGGAAGGTTAGAAAGTTAAATAAACTGAAAGAAAACTGGCATTCTGCACTCCCACAAACCATAGCAATGCACACTTTGATCTTGGTCCTTGTATCATAAGTATCACCTCTTTCCAGGTGTGTCTGCTTGCTTAGGCACTGAGAGGATAAGCTGAGGTCAATCTCCTGGAGCTTGCACAATCAGAGGTATGGAAGGTATCCAGTACTACTTTTCTAGGAAAAGAGGTGCTAGAACTCACCATGAACACCTGCTTCCTTCTCTTAGAATGGCAATGGTCCTTTGAGCTCCCCCTGAAAAGAGGCCCTGAAGGTATTTATGAGGCAGGCAGAGAGAGAGAAAGCGAGAAAGAGAGAGAGAGAAAGAGAAAGAGAAAGAGAAAGAGAGAGAGAGAGAGAGTACTTTTTCAGTGATGCCCCCCCCATCGTGGAACATCACCAGACAAGGACCAGGCCATTTATAGTACTTTATTTCAATATTTGTATACAGTTGTACCTTAGATACCGAACGCCTTGATATTTGGACATTTTGGCTCCTGAACACTGGAAACCTGGAAGTGACTGTTCCAGTTTGTGATCATTCTTTGGAACCTGAACGTCCGACTGGGCTTCTGCAGCTTCTGATTGGCTGCAGGAGCTTCCTGCAGCCAATCAGTAGCTGTGCTTTGGTTTCCGAATCTTTTGGAAGTCAAATGGACTTCTGGAATGGATTGTGTTCGACTTCCAAGGTACAACTGCATCTGCATTTCACTGTCGTTTTAGGATGGTGTCTCCCACCCCAATAAAGCCCTTAGAAGATTATATCCGTGACCAGGGAGAAGAGTCGGTGGAAGAAGATTGGAAGAAATTTAAAGACTATTTACAGAAATATTGCAAAATTAATGAATGTTAGAATGATGTTGGATTGAAGTTAAGTGATTTCCAGCTGTACAGGTACAAAAGAATATGGAAAAATTGGTTTTTAATATGTAAAAATTTAAAGTTATAATATATCAAGATTAAAGATTAGGATTAAAAAGGAGGGAAAGGAATTGTTGGATTAACAAATTTAATTGGAATACAAAAGAGGGAGGTATGAGGAGGTCCAGGAAACAAGTAAATGTAAAAGAAGTGAGGAAAAGTTGGAATTGTTTTTAACTGTTTTTTCTTTTTTTCTACTTTGTATTTTTCCTTTTCATTGTTAATTTTTTTTTACTAATGCGATTCTTTTTTTCCTTTGAAACTTTAATAAATATTATTTTTTTAAAAAAGAAGATTATTTTGTGGCTCTCTGTTTTATATGATTGTTGCTGAACTTGTGTTAATCTCTGCTTTGATATTGTCTGTCTGTTTTATAGGTTTTTTCTTCTTCATCTGTTGACTGGTGTTTTATTGGAATTGAGATTTTAATTTTGTTTTAATCCTTTTGCTGTCTAGGGAGCTCTGGTTATTGGGCTTCTAGTAAAGGAAACAAACAAACAACAAATAGGATCACATTTTTTTCAGCCAGTGCAAAATCGATGACTCCTGACTCTTGAGTTGTGGGTGCTCACATGTGGCTGCATTTGGGCAGGTGGGATAGCTGGGAGGAGTCTAATGAGTGAAAAAAATGAGGAGTCAAACAAGCCTTAGTGAATTTGCAGTGGATCTGGGACTTTCCTTGTGCTCTGTCCCAACCTATGTAGCTGATCTCTTGTAAAGCTTATCTAACTCAATCAAACTGGAAATCTTGTTTAGTAAAATGTCAGTGAGCAAAACATTTATTTGCAGATGAGAATGAATACAAATGAAGAACCGGGCTGGGTTCAAATGCAGATGAAGACAGGCTCACATTTTTTGTTACCATTTCATGTAGCCACAAGGTTTAACCTGCCCATTCCTTTGGTGTAAGCTCCAAAGATAGTGTCAATCACTCAGGGGCCTAAAAAGAGAGGTCTCTTTATCTGACCTTCCCCATTCTAGGCTGATTTGTCACTCAGATACACAAAGCTGTTAGTCCTCTGGATCAATGTCATCTTTCTTATCACAGCCAAAGGCTGAGAAGCTAATTCCAAATGTCCCAGCCATGTCACCCATGTGGAGATGGATCCCTGCTAGCGAGACTTGTGCGTTCTCTATTTTGACAGAAATGGGCACCTGTTGTGCCCCACACTGGATGCTAAGTTTTGAAAAGGTTGTGGGCTTGGTGCAAAAATAATGTTAATAACAACGAAAGCTCACACACCCCAAATTGGAGAAGATGGGAAAGATTCAAGAAATTGGATTATGAAATGCCTTGACGGAATGTAGCTAGATAATTGTGAGAGATTTGCAATGCCATCATGTTAGACCTAGAGAAGGAGAGGGCAAAAATGTGGGAGATTTGTGATTATGCTGTTCTGGTCCTGATGCTCAGAGAACAAGAAGTGGTATGCAGCTGATTCCAGCAAACTCTGCATGCATTTTGGAACCATAAGGAGGAGATGTAGGTGTCATTGAAATTCTACTCAATTTTGATCCAGAGCAGATTCCAATGTATAGTTAGCAGAGTAAAAACTTAAACACATTGCAGGATTCCCCAAAAATAGATCAGAGTCCATTGTATTTCATCCAGCAGAGCTTTACAGCTACTGAAGGCAAATGAGCATAATGGTCATAAATCCAATACATTCAGGATTGGCACTGTCCATAAGAAATCCAGTTGCAGCAGACTTAACTTAAACTTACAGTAACTTATAATAAGGCTAAACCTTAACACTAAGCATAATATGTACAGGACACCACACCAGAAGGAAAAGAGATAGAAAGAGGAAAAGTGAAACCCTGGCTACTTCTGGCCTTATTATTATAGTCAGCATGACCTTGACAGAAGAGACAAGAGAACCAGTTTAAACCAGCTGTACTCAGCTTCTCTGAAGGAATAACCCAAACATCATGAACCTTCTGCTTGTTTCTTTCACACAGAGAAGCCTCGAGAACCTTCTTGAATTAAGTAGAATAGGAAAGATCTCTACACATCTAAGAAATGCAAGCTGACAGTAGGAGCAAGAAGTACAACTACCTTAAGAGTGTAGAAAGCTGCCTTACATGCCTAGTGAGGGTGTTGGTCCATCTGTCTCAGTATTGTCCACACTGACCAGCTGCAGGACTCCAAATTTCCAAGCAGGAGTCTCCACAAGGGTTACCTGGAGATGCTGGGGATTGAACCAGGGACCTTCTGCATGCAAAACAGATGCTTTACCACTGAACCACCTCTCTTTCCTTGAAACTGGGCAACTTTCTGCCTCATGGGGGGACAGGTCCGTCTTATAGTCCCATCTCTGTCTTCTGACAAGAATGAAGATGCATTCTCGTACCCACCAACCTGAGAGCAAGCCCCATTGGGCTCAGTGGGACTCATGTCTGGAATTGCACCATGGATGCAAAAAATCTGCACACCAGGCCTCAGACAGGGATGTTACAGCAAAGGTGGGTAACCTGCAGCCCCCACAAATGATGTTGGACTACAACTCCCATCAACCATGATGGCTGGGGATGGTGCTTTTTAGGATCACAACATTAGTTCCAAAGCACATGTCTAAGAATAGTTGAGAGAATCCACCAGAATGGCATGGGAAGTAATGCTGCTGAGCCTGGTTACATGAGCCAGTGGTGGTTAAGTGGTTATAGAGTGTAGGACTAGGACCTGGGAGACCAGGGTTCAAATCCCCACTCAGCCATGAAACTCACCTTGGGCCAGTTACTCACCCTCAGTCCAACCTACCTCACACAGTCATTGTCAGGATAAAATGGAGAGGGTGAGAGCTGTGTAGGCCACCTTGAGCTCCTTGGAGGAAAAGTGGGGTATAAATACAACAGCAGCAGCAGCAATAACAACAACAACAACCTGTTTGAGCTCCTCCCCTCACCCATCTAGTTCAGCATCCTGTTCTCAAAGACGTCATCTAGATGCCTGTGAGAAACCCCCAAGCAAGAACCCACCACAAGAGCGCTCTCCCCTCCTGTGATTTCCTGTGAAGAATTTACTGCCCCTCTGACTGTGGAGTCAGAGAGTCACTGTTGTGGGGAGCAGCCGCTGAGAGCCTTCTCCTCTATGACTTTGCCCAATCCTCTTTCAAAACCATCTAAGTTAGGTGCCATCGCTGCCTCCTGTGGCAGCAAGTCCACAGTTAAAACTACAGACCGTGTGAAGAAGTGCTTTCTTTTATCGGTCCCAAATTGTTCTATTCGACATTGTGGCACCATCCTTTCAGGAACGCAGTTCAGTATTTGGATTTGCTGTTTGTTTCCCGTGCCTAAGAAGCAGAAGCCAGCGTTTTTCAGGCGGCATCTTCTGCCCATTAAGGGGCCCACTCTCTCCCTCAGATCTACACACACACACACACATGCAATTTATTCAACCCCGCCTTTCTCTTATTTACATTTATATTGAATAATTTAAAACCCTTGCCCCCCATTTCCATAAATCATTCCGTCGAAGGTAAGGAAACTGCCCGCTTGTAACCAGGCACCCTCTGGGCAGAACGGCTAATTATGCGCCAATGAGCATTCTTGCAAGCTACTCTCGCTGTGCAAAGGAAGAGAGACCGTGGGGTTGCGGTGGGGAGAGGATTGTAGGGTAGGCAGCCAGAGCCAGGGGCAGTGTGTCCAATGAAAGGATTCAGTAGCTTAGGATAGCCCAGTGGTGAATTCATATGATGTTCGGCTATCCTGGGATAAGAATCGTGGAAGCATTTTGATCTCTGCTCTATTTATGCATAGAAGTATCCCTACATGGTCATATCACAAAATATCAAAGTGGTTCAGTCATATGATCCAGGGGTGAATGAGAAGCGTAAGTTGAAAAAGAACCAGAAGTTCCTAAAAACCAAACCCAAACCCTGAGTGTTTTGTTGTTGTTGTTGTTGTTGTATCACTTGATAAATAGTTGTTGTTTTAAATATATCTATGCCGATTAATACTAAGGCAGTAAGCTAAAGTGAGGTTATTACCTCTGCACTGTGTGGAGCACAGTTCTAAGGAGTGTTACCACTTTTGAATGGTGCTTGCAATTCTGGGGTTGCTACCCAGTGCTGGATTTACGTATAAGCTAAACAAGCTGTAGCTTAGGGCCCCACTCTCTTGGGGGCCCAAATTTTTTTAAAGGAAAAAAAACACCTGAATGTACATTTCCAAAATATAAGATAAAAAACAAATAAAATAAAACCTACATACAGCAACAGTGTTTTGTGTTGTGTAGGCTCCTACGATGTAAGTAATGGGCCCCGCCTGCTAGCCTGCTCCCTAAAATATCACTAGTTTGCTCATTTCTATATACAGTGGTACCTTGGTTCTCAAACTTAATCTGTTCTGGAAGTCTGTTCCACAATTACTTTGATAAAATACATATTTTGTTATGTGCAAATGGCTTTAGATACCTATTAGGTCTATAAATTACCTTATAGCATATATTCGACACAAAAAACAGTGACAACTTGTTCACAAAGGACAGCTGGACATATAAAGGGCCCCAGTACTTTCACTACATTAAACCTAAATCTGGCCCTGTTGCTACGTCTGTTGGGACATTGTCAATACTCACATTTGTGGACTGAAAAAAGTGATAACTTTTCCCTTTAGGTAGCTGTTATGGTCTTGTGATGTTCCCAATTCAGCGATGCAGCATCTCATCAAGACAGCCATGTGGCCAATAGCCAACAGATCAGCAGACAGACTTCCCAAAGGCCTAAAATGAGTAGGAAAAGAGGTTCTCTGTCTCCACAGGAGATCTCTTGGCTCTCTCTTCTTCTCTCCCTGTGGTTGGCCAAGCTGTGCGGTGCTGGCTGACTCCTAGCTTGGTACCACAAGCAGAAATGGCACCTCACTCTCATACCCATGGAAGAGCAGCAAAGCTTCTTATGTGCATATGGGACTGGTTTTGGTGCGTCGCTCACAACACAGGCAGTAGGGAGCCACTGTGGAAAACATTGACTGGTGAAGACAATGCATTTGAAGCAGGGATGGGGAGCCCACGGCTCTCCAAAGGTCGCTGGACTCCAGCTCCCATCAGACCCAGCCAGCATGACCAAGGGGATGGGGCAACTCCTCTATAAGAAAAGGTTACAATATTTTCATCCTTTTAGTATAGAGAAATGGCAAATAAGAGAGGAGGCAATGGCAGCACATAGTTAAACTATGGAACTCTCTCCCACATGGAGGCAGTAATGGCCACCAACTTTTGACAGCTTCAAAAATAGACTGACTTGTGCTTCATTCCCAGTTTCACTAGGATTTAAGTTCTATCCACCACGGCATGATAGAAGTTTATGAAAGTTTCATGGCATGGAGGGAGTGGATATAGAAAAGTTTTTTTCTCTCTATCACATAACATAGAACTCATGGACATTCAGGGAAGCTGAACATTGACAGATTCAGGGCAGGGAAAAGGAACTTTCCCACACAGCTCAAAGTTAAACTATGGAACTCCCTGCCACAAGAGGCAGTGATGGCCACCAACTTGGATGGCTTTCAAAGAAGATTAGATGAATTCGTGGAGGATGAGGCTATCAGCGTCTACTAGCCATGAAGGCCCTCTCATCATTGGAGGCAGGGATGATGGGAGCTGTAGCTACACAACATCTGGAGGGCTACAGGTACCCCATTCTTGATTTAAAGTATTTCACGTGGGTGCTGCTGGGTACTTGAACCCAAGAGTGTACGAAGATGGAGAGATAAGTGGATGGCCTGCCTGCTTGAGTGGACTGTAGGTAGGCTCTGCTCTGTCCCAAACCACTACCTAAGGTCATTGTTGAGTCCATGAGACAGGGGTTCCCATCCATGAACATTTGATGCCAAGAACCCAAAAGGCAGGCAGGTCTCACATCCTCCTTGGTGGCTTCCACTGTAGCAACTACCGGAGACAGCAACAAGTAGATTATTAGGGAAATGAATATCCTCTTTCCCTGCTAACCCTGTCTACAAGTCGTCTCCCCCCGCCTTCCATTTCCTCTCTGCTTTCCAGGCAAAAAAAGATTAATTATAATTGCAATATTAGCATTCGTTTTACCACTGGCAGAACATGCAGAGAAATAAATTCAGCTGGAAGAGGAATGGCGATTACCGTGTCCACACTTAAAAGTCTTGTGAGATTGCTTCTGTTATTAATGAAATATTATTGACTAATTCAGCAGAATTTGGCAAAGGGTCCTTTCTTCTTCCTTCTATGAGGAGCTGAAGCAAAGACCTTTTGAAATGAACCCAAAAGCTGAACTGCCTGCAAAAACCTTACACATCAAGGAAAACCAGAGCATGATGAACATCCCTTTCATTTATTTTTTAAAAAATAATCAACCTTCAAGCATTTTCTCTTCCCCCTTTGGCTTCCCCCTCCCTCTCATCTATTCCTCTGAAATCCAATACTCAGCAGATGCCTTTGGAATTGTGTTTTATGTTGCGGGGCATGGATCCCCATTTAATTAACTCTATAATTGCAAGATAACTGCTGGCCTTCTGAATCTATAGTAAGCTCCCTAGATAGATTAAGAACCCAATACCCTCCAAAGGATAATCTGCCTTCCTCATCTAATGGTCCCAGAAGTACCTTATTCATGATTGCTTTAGGTAAAGTTGTCACAGGGGGATGCTTAGCACATCCTGTTTAGCAGAGTCCCACCTTTATTTTGAAGATGTCTAGTTATGAGAACATTGCATGTAGAAGATGTTTGGGAATAGATGGGTGGTTTTGTGGACTTCAGTCTGGGGAATCTAGGGGGTTCTTCAATGCAGCCATCAGTAATGGTGGAGAAGCTTCCCTGAAATACAATTTGTTTCCCACTCCCAACCTCCCTCTGCAGGAGAATTTTTGGTGCGTTCCAGGCCATGCTCTCTGTTAGGAACCTTCACAGGAAGCTAGCTGTGTTATACCCAGCCAGATCATTGGTCCATCTAGCTCTGCATTGTCTATACCAGGATAGGGAGCGTGTGGCCCTCCAGAAGCTGTTAGACTCCAACTCCAGTCATCCCTGACCCTTGGCCACACTGCCTGGGGCTGATGGGAGCTGTAAGCCAATAGAGGGCCCCAGGTTGGGCAGGGTGGTCTGCAGTGACTGACAGGGCTCTTCTGGGTCTTCACATGTTCTACTTGGATTTGCTGAGGATTGAACCCGGGACCTTCTGAGTGCAAAGCATGGCTTCTTCCACTGTTCTGCAGCCCTTTCCCAGCTCATAGGGCAACAGTAAAGTCCAAGAGATATCACCACTTTTCCATACTTACTGAA